TTGAGTTTTTGTTACAAGTACTGAAATTCTAATTCCTATATCTTTGTCGTAGACCTTTGATATATCAAACTGTGAATTCTGTTAAATAAAGAGTGTGGCATAACAACAACAACATCAGGTGGCAAAGATATAGGGATTGAAAAAATCGAGTTTGAGTCAAAAAATCATTTTTTTTAACGGTTATGCTTCCAAAACCTTTTTTCAGAGAACTGTTCTTAATTACCATATATTAGTTTGCCTGTACAGTGTACATGCATAATTGTATAACATGTCAACATTAAAAAACAGTAAATAATTCTGGATAATCAAAAGATATTGCGCGATGTACCTTTAAATAAAAACTATTCTAAGATTATTCAATGCTGCAGGAGTAGTTCAATCTAATACACAGAGAATTTTAGATTTTTCTACATTCAAAATATAGATTTAAAAATGATGGAGGCTTATTTTCCAATTTTAGAATTTGGATTTGACAAAGTTCTGTTGAGTCGATCAAGGACATTATTTTGAAAATATTCTCTATTCTACAACTTTATACTGTCTTTCAGTCTACAGGAGTAAGGGGGGAAATATTATATTTTAAGGAAAATATGTTTCCAACAAAAATTCAAGTTTTCACCGGAAAGTTTAAGTATGTATTGTAAACCATAGTCTAGAGGGTAGAGAGGATTATAAACAGAAGTAGGTAAGGGTTTGCCAAACGATGCAAGAAAAACGCGGGAGAATCAAGAAAAACCCGCGGCAAAAATATAATTTAGCGCCATCAAGAATAATGATGGTTCATCGTTCCAGAACCCAGCTTTGATTTCCCAAAAAAATGTAATCACCGTTTTGGTTGTGAAATCTCTTTGGAGAAGATAAAGATAAAAATAGTGTTACCAGAGAAGTTTTAATAAAATAATTTTTTTTAAAGTTTAAAGATTTAGTTAAGTCGAGTGGGGAACAGATTGTTAACCAAAATATAAAATTCAAAATATAGCTAAGTGCACAAATATAGCTCTTGACGAAATTTTATAGAATATTTAACTATTTAGATTCTAAGAATTGATTTTAAATATCATCTGAAGTTTAAATCTTTTTGTTTTTGAACAAGACAAAAATTAAAACAATATTTAAAAACATTTATTAACAACTAATTATAGAGATTGATTGAAAGTTTGATAAAATGCATAAAAATACGTTAGAGAGGAAAAAATTTGACGAAAATTTATGAACTAGAATTGAACCTTGATCTGGATGAAAATGTCCTGTTTCTTCCATTACCCAGTTTCTCCGGGTTTTTCATCCCAGAGCAAATACTATTCTCAACCCTTTCTTCCGTCAAACTTTACACTGCGGACTTTTCTTTCGATTCAGGTTCCGATTATGGGATACTATATCCTTATAATCTTTGTTCAGATTGGAGAATAATATAGCTCCAGTTTTAGATTAAAAAATATCATAGCTCCAATTTTAGATTAAAGAATATTATAGCTCCAGTTTCAGATTAACGAATATCATAGCTCTAGTTTCAGATTAAAGAATATCTATAGCTCCAGTTTCAGATTAAAGAATATCATAGCTCCAGTTTCAGATTAGAGAATATCATAGCTCCAGTTTCAGATTAAAGAATATCATAGCTTCAGTTTCAAATTAAAGAATATCATAGCTTCAGTTTCAGATTAAAGAATATCATAGCTCCAGTTTCAGATTAAAGAATATCATAGCTTCAGTTTCAAATTTAAGAATATCATAATTCCAGTTTCAGATTAAAGAATATCATAATTCCAGTTTTAAATCAGAAAATATCATAGCTCCAGTTTCAGATTGGAGGATATCATAGTTGCAGTTTCAGATTAGTGAGTTTCATTGCTCCGGTTTCAGATTAGAGAATATTATAGCTCCAGTTTCAGATTAAAGAATACCATAACTCCAGTTTTAAATTAAAGAATATCATAGCTCCAATTTCAGTTTAAAGAATATCATAGCTCCAGTTTTAGATTATAGAATATCATAGCTCCAGTTTCAGATTAGTGAATTTCATAGCTTCAGTTTCAGATTATAGAATATCATAGCTCCAGTTTCAGATTAAAGAATATCATAGCTCCAGTTTAAGATTAGAAACTGTCATAGCTCCAGTTTCAGATTAAATAACATCGTAGCTCCAGTTTTAGATTAAATAATATATAATAGTTCCAGCTTTAGATTAAATAATATATATTAGCTCCAGTTTTAGATTAAATAATATATAATAGCTCCAGTTTCAGGATAAATAATGTCATAGCTCAAATTTAATAGCTCCAATTTAGATTATGAATATGATAAAATTTAAATATATAAATTAAAATAATTTGTGCTTTTTATTTTATAACTATCGTTAACCCTCTATTTCCGGTCCTTTTGTAAATAGCTTGACGAATATTTTTTAAAATGTAATGCAAAGAATTTTCTAATTTTTATTCAAAATTAGCCAAACATGATGGAAAATGCAGGAACAAGAAGAAATATAGAAATGTCAAAATATTTGCATCGACTATTATCTAATTATTTATAGAATTTTGTTAAAATTTTATATAAAATAAATGTTAAATGTTAAAAAAAACTTTGTTTTGTTCAGACAACTTTGATATCAATATTTTTATATCATTCATAAAAGTTGGAAGATTATTTCTCGGTAACCTTCCCCCTCCTCCTCTTCAGTCTTCATTTATCTCCAGGTTTAATTCTATCAGGTTAGGATCCTCAAGATTAATCTCTGTGTCTCAGATCTTCTGATTTCAACTAATCTTATCCTACTGACTCCCACTACACTACTTCTTCTCAACCTGGATCTTTTCTTTTCCGTCTGTTTTTATCAAAGTTTCGCCGAACAATATCATTATTTCTCAAATTAACCTTACTGCAACATATTGTTCTATTCCTCTCTCCCCTCATGTTCCTCTGTACACAGTAATCTTCTTTTACACCTTTATATTATGTCTTGATCAATCTTCTTCTTTCAGACTTTCTTCCTCCTCTTACTCTCTCTCTTTTCACTTCCTCAAATATCATAATGTTTATTCTATCATCTAATAACTTCCTTTCTTCTAATTTTCCTCCTAAATCCTCTGCCCCCCCCCCTCCCCTCCCTTCTTTCTCAAACTTTTAAGTCTTCTCCCCCCAACACCCAACCCCTACCCTCCTCAATTATCTCCCCCTTTCTTCAAACTCTGTTTGCCTTTTCCACCCTTTCCTTCTCCTGAATTCCTTGAACACAAGCCTCTCCCACATAACCATCCCTCCACTATACTTATATTCAATTCTCAACCCAAAACGATTCTCCATTATCCTCCCTCCACTGATCCCACTGATCCCAACCTGTCCTCCATTATCCTTCCTCCACTGATCTTGATCTATCTATCCTCCATTATCCTCCCTCCACTGATCCCACTGATCCCACTGATCCCAACCTGTCCTACATTATCCTCCCTCTTCCCTTCTTGTCTTATATCTTCTTTAATTCTGTAATTAATGAAAATTTCAATTTGTTTACGTTACTCCGGGCCCTAATGTAATTATTAGTGTAACTAATTCAATTATTTCACGTATTTATCAGTCACTACACACAGTACACACTCTCTCCCCTTGGGTCTCCCCAACAAAGCACGTGGGGGGCGGGGGGGGGGGGGTTAAAATATGATATTGCTTTAAAAAGCCCAATTTTGGTCGAAAAAACCGTTCTCTCATTCCTTTTCCATTTTTTAACTGAAATCTTCTAAAAAAACTAGCATTGCAAATATTTTTCCTAATATTATTAATCCTGAATTCCTAAATTTTTAAATCCTCATTAAAATATTACCAAAATCTACTCAGACTAAATATCTACCATTTGGATTTTATTCTGGAAAAATTATAATTAGTTGGAGATATTTAATAAAAATGTGGATATTTTAAGCATTTTATTGAAGCTTTCAGCAACATCCTTTCCCATACATCATATTATACATATTTTTACATATTTGGATGATTTGATACAATATTTTACATAATTTTGGCATTTTTTCGAGAAAGAAATTAATTCGCGGATAACAAGTAAACATAACCATTTTAACAGTTTAAAAACATATTTGGCATATTGTTAATCAATATTTTTGGATGAAAATTTGTAAAACAAAATGAATTCGTTAAAAAAAATCCCCTGTTTGATTCTATGCATAAACCTATAAAAACACAATATTACGACATTATATAAACTTACGTTTAAATAAATAATAAAATCACAGATATATGCCAGCGTATTTTCACTACATGAAAACAACAAATAGCGAGGTATTAGGTTTCATAAGTTTGATGAGGAATCACTAAGCGGAGAAAACGAAATTCATTAATAAACAAAGAGAAATTTAGTTTTCTAAGACAAGTTTAGGCTTCATAAGTTTGAGTTTGAGGAAAAAAAATGTTGTTTGAAGGGAGAAGTTTGAGTTTGTTGAATAAAGTTTGGGGTTGATAAGGATAAGGTTTGATGGGATGAGTTAGGATTTGATAGTATAAGTTTGGATTTTATAGGAGAAGTTTGAGTTTGATGATAGACGTTTGAGTTTTTTGAAAACAGTTTGGGGTTGATAGGGTAAGTTTGGGTTTGATTGATAAGTTGATAAGGACAGATTATGTTCAGATAAGTGCATCTAATAAAATGAAGGTTAGAATATCTCTAGTATTGGAAAAGGTATGGGTACGAAGTGAATCTGAACCGGACCAAGAGATTTAACCAGGACAAGTTCTGGTTCAATGAGCCAAGGATTAGAGAAGATAAATAAACAGCAGTCCCCCAAACCAGGAACAAGAGTTTTTACCAGGATTGAAAGTTTCTCCCAAACTTCTCCGATCAAAGAACCCTTGAACATCTATTGAGAACAGACGAGATAAATCTTTCCTAACAAGGTTAAGGATTAAAATATCAACAAACGCCCAATGAAGAGTTTATAATGTTTACAAGTAAAGTTAAGGTATAGAAGTTTACCCGGAAAGGATGAGACTTTAGGACGACTGTAGTGAATTTATTCGGTCTTTCTTCTTACATTCATATTCTATGTAACTATTAGTATTTAATTGAAAAACAATAATCGACTGGATTTCGTGTGGGATCCGTGTATTCTTTTGGTTTTGAGTTCAATGGTATCAAATATAATTTTAGGTAAAATGTTAGAGATCGAAGTTTTCTACTAGGTTCTGTTGAATACAATATTATGAAAAATGTTATTGCTGGTTTCTCATGATATGAGCATATATGCACACTGTACACTGCACTGGGTAGGGTAGGTATGGCACATGGAGGCCCCAAACAATGCATTATTTCTACCATAAGCTTTTTAATGCAATTCTATGTCTTTGATGCAGGTATTTAATGCAGAAAAAGCCATTCCGTTAAATAAAACAAGGAGAAATAAAAGAGAATTTATGAAATTTCGCTCATATCAAAAATCAGTGTTGCCTTCAACCAATAACTCAAAGTAATTAACTAAAAACTTTTACTTATGTCGTTAAATGTTTTTTTTTCTAATTTAGACAACTCCGATATTCTCAAGACAAACAATGTTTTTAATAATTTTATACATTTTTCTAACTTGAAATAAGAGAATGATATATGTAGAGATAAATCTGGTTGAGTTCTGAATGAATGATCCTTGGTAATGAAGAATTTGCACCATGGAGAGATGGATTAAAGATTACTCTCATCCCTCTCTTATCTGCGGAAACCTGAACCTTGTCTTTTTTCCTATATTCAAGTTTAAAAAACGGAACCACAACTTTCATCACTTGATTCCGAGCAGAAATAAAAATGGGCGAACTCAGAGAACTGAGAGAGAACACCTTTTAACTTCTCCCGTCCTAGCAGCTCATGGTTTAGTGTCCTATCAAGATCCCTCTGCTGTAAGGAGCTCAAGGAGCAAAATGTCTGTGAATACTGTAGAATAAAGACTGACTGAGGATCCAGTGTTTCTAGAGCCGGGAGTAGCTCCCCTCCTTCGACTAGCAAGGATTCAGTTAGAGCTCCATATGCAGCTTCTAATCCAGCAACGCTGATAGCACTAGAAACTGCACATTTCTCCAGTTGATCTGGAGTATCTAAACCCAACCCTGTCCATCGGTTAGACAGACAGCCAGCTATCCGGAGCAAGGGTTTATTTGCTTCCTCCGTCCTGCTCAGGGAAAAATTTCCAGTGTAAGATCCGTCTAAAATCCGTCCTGTTGGAGTAAATACACTTCCTGTTCCAGCAACTCCAGTGATCACTGCTTCAGCTATCATGACGCCCAACCCTCCAAGGTTTACGTTGGATGGATACCTGGGATGGAATAAAGGTTCGGAGAGAAGATATTCAGGTATAACAACCTTGTTAGCTGATGGAGAATAGGTAACCTTCTTCTCCAACAGGTTGGATAACCACCGAGTTTCTTCTCCGGGTGAGAGAAGAGAATGCTCCTGTCTTTTTCTCAAGAAATGCATCCCGTACTGAATGTTTTGAAAAAAGTCTTCGTTTTGAACAGACATGTCTTTAAACATAATCTTTAGAAACCTCCTGTCTCTGAGTATATCCGGAGTTCCAACCTGAATACTCATGGAGTGTAGCTTGTCGATAGCGTTCTGCCGGGTTAAGTAATCAAACTCTCTACTGCCTGACACCTTGTGTCCCACTGTATCCCTGATCCTGGAGAACATCCTGTGAACTGCAACCTCTCTTTCATCCGTCATTCCCTGAAATATATCGAGTATGAGAACAATACAAATCCGGGAAATTCCGATGAAAATATTTCCCTTTACTCTGACAAGCCTCATTTCCAACAATATGGATCTATTATATACTAAACTATACATATACACTCTAGGAGACCAGAGCACTAGGGGACTTTGGGACTAAAGAAATAGGGAACCATAGGACCAGGGGACTAGGGGACAAATTGTATGATAAATCTGACGGACGACCAGGATAATCTGATATCAGAAGAACATAATATCAGATTAAAGTAACCATGAGACCTGGGTATAGTTTACCAGAATCTTGAAACAATAAAAACTGGGTACCAGGATACCAGAATCAGAAAAAAAAATAAAACTAGGGAACCAAATACCAGATTCAAAAATCTCAAGGCTACATTGACCAGGATATCAGAATCGGTAAAAATAAAAGACTGAAAGGACCTAAGTAATGAAATCAGTAAACCATAAAGCCAGGTGACTAGGATACCAGAATCAGAAACCGATAAAAAAGACCAAGATACCAAAACTAATAGATCACAAGACTAGAAGGACCAGAATCTTTAAACCTACGGAAGGCTGAACCTCTTATCACTGAAAGAATAACTTAATTTTAATCCCATAATATCTCTCTCTCAAATAGGAATCCACTACGGTTCATTCCTCCCTTCCCAGATTCTGGTGGGATTTGAACCATTAAGGTTGGTTAATCACACCACTTGAATATATTTATAAAAAGACAACTATTGAGCCAAAGTACCCACCCCTCCACCCAGAATTTGAACTCTTTGAACAACACAATAAAACTCTTTTATTTACCTGGGTTTCGTAGTATATAGAGTCCATGAGATGCCCGAAGAACTTCTGCGTGACATCATAGCAGAACTCCCATCTCTGTAAAGGTTTCTGTGCTCCTGTCTGGAACTTCAAGTACATGTTCATCACCTCCGTATATGTACTACTGAGATACGGCATGTACGTGTGTACCAGCTGCCAGATCAGGTAGTTGTTTAGGCTGGCCCGGTCCGTCGTAGACATGATGACCGCTATATCAGCAGCGTACTGTGGGGAGACGACGATGACGTCAGTGTTTTCGGAGATTTTAGCGCTAGGGAAACAAGCTTTCAGCACCTCAACCCATGGTATATTTATAGACATGGTTCTTAACTCTTTCACCTAAACAACAAAATATTTGAAATGAGAAAAAATGAAAAGAAGGAGGAAAAAAGAGAGGAATGAATTAGGAAAATGATGAGAAGAAGGAGAAAAAGATAAGAAAAAAATGAGACTGATAATGAGGCTAAAAAATTGAGGAAAATAAAAAAATGAGAAGGCAAATGAAGCAGAAATAGAAGGAGAAAAAGAAGAAGAAACAGGATAAGAAGGAGAAAAAGAAGAAGAAACAGGATAAGGAGGAGAAAAAGAAGAAGAAACAGGATAAGGAGGAGAAAAATAAGAAGGAAAAGAGTTAACAAAAGAGAAGGAAAACAAGAAGTTAAAAGGAGAAGGAAGACAAAAAGAGGAGAAAATAAATAAATAATACAAAACGTTTTACAATAAAGAAGGAGAAAGCACCAATAATTTAGACAGTGGTAGAAGAGAAAAACTACTGTGCAGGAGTTGTTTCTAAAACTTTTATTTATATTTTCAAACCTTTATAAATCTAAGAACTGAAGACAATAAAGAGAAAAATGAATTTATTATTCATAGTTTTAGCTAAACTACTCTATCAATTCACACCAATTCAAGATAGATAGATAGATAGATAGATAGATAAATAGATAGATAGATAGATAGATAGATAGATAGATAGATAGATAGATAGATAGATAGATAGGTTCTAACACTTTTGCCATTTATGAATAATTGAGTACTGCCGAGAAATTGAAAACTGTTCCAAGCCGTTCGTGTTAATCTATTTACATTTAATATCCAATATTTTATAAAATATTGCTCATCTGGAGTATAGAGATAAAATGATTGATTTTGCACAGGATTTTATCAATATGTATTCAGGAATCTGATTATTTTACAGACAAAAAAGACAAGAAGGATAAAATTTAAACCCCTCCCTCAAGTTCCTAATTTTGAATTTCTATTTCAAATTATTCAAATTAGTCAAGTTTTGATTATATTTAAGTTATGTTCCTTTGCATAAGTTGGGGAAGAAAGGAGATTAACATATGTATATGGACAAGATGTATAATGTATATTAAGAACCACCCTCCCATCTCCTCCCCCCTCCCATCTCCTCCTCCCTAAAAGAAAAGAAATAAGGAATGAGGTGAAATAAAAGTGGAGCGGAGCTAGGAGACAAGTAGGACCAGAGGAAGGTGAAATGAGAAGAAAGAATTGGTGGAGGAAAGTGCATTCGTGGGAGCTAGGAGAGGAGAAAAGTGGAAGATTAAAGTGGAATCGGAGGGAGCCAGTAAAGAAGGAATATGGGATTTTAGGGAATAACAGAGAAGAAGAGTTTAGAAGAAAACCGGGATCAGTTGGAGTTGATGGAAGAAGATGGATTGGAGGAAGAAAATGGGATCGGAGGTAGTGAAGAAAAAAGTGGGATCGGAGGGAGGGGAACAGAATAGCGTGATCAGAGGGAGTTGAGGAGAAAAGTGAGATCGGAGGAAGTTTAGGGAAGAGGCGGGAGTAAAGGAGGAATGGTCGGATCGAAGGGATTAAAAGAGGAAAGTAGGATCAGATGGAGCAAAGAAGAAAAGTGAAATCAGGGAGAGTGGAGGAGAAAAGTGGAATCAGAGAGAGATGATGAGAAAATATGGATCAGAGGAAGTTTATGGAAGGTTGGATCAGAGGAAGTTTATGGAAGGTTGGATCGAAGGAATTAAAAGAGGAAAGTGGAATCAAAGGGAGTAGAGAAAAGAGGGTGTAAAGAAGAAGTTTTGGGTAAGTGAACCTTGGTCTAAATGAAGTAGGTCTCTGAATTTTATTTCGAAATTATTCTGTATATTCTGTATAAAGTAGATAAAGCATTGAAAACTACAAACTACTCAGTGCTCCGTACAAGGACTCAGGACTCAGAATTGCAATTTAGGAAAGCTTTACAAACTTTATTCATTAAAATTTAAACAAATTGTGATGATTTCAAATTGAGAAAGATTATGTTAGTTTGGTCGAGTAGTTGACAAAACTCAAAATCAAAAACCTTTGTAGCTACGCAGTATTCAGTGCAAACCAAGTATAGGATCTATAGGATTTAGAACTAGATTCTAGGATTTAGAACTAGATTCAAGGATTTAGAACTAGATTCTAGGATTTAGAACTAGATTCTAGGATTTAGAACTAGATTCTAGGATTTAGAACTAGATTCTAGAATTTAGAACTAGATTCTAAGATTTAGAACTAGATTCTAGGATTTAGAACTAGATTCTAGGATCTAGAACTAGATTCTAGGATCTAGAATCTAGGATTAAGAACTAGATTCTAGGATCTAGAACTAGATTCTAGGATCTAGAATCTAGGATTTAGTATAAATTTATTTATGTTTATACGATATACGATAGAATATTATTCAGCCGTTTAAGATAAAAAGATAAATTAATAATATCTTCAGGTTTTACAATTCTAAAATAATGAAATATAATAAACTGCTCCCTTGCCGGTTATATTTAGATTAGTTCTTAAATAAGAATTGTCATGTTTGTGAAGTCAGTTTGTGTCCTATAAAAGAGAAGTTGGAGAAACTCAAATAAATTCTTCCAATCAGTAACTGGTGCAGTTCAAATCAGAAAATTTGAAATATTTTAAAATGTTTCAGTCTAGGTAAGATGCTCGTTATCATAGTTTGGAAATAAAGGTGTGGAATGTACCTAAATAAAATGTGAATAAACATTTACTAATTTTTAACTATAGACATCAAACTTAATTGTTTAGAAAAATGAATTTTGAACTACAAGATTTAAGTTTCGAACTACAAGATTTAAGTTTTGAACTACAAGATTTAAGTTTCGAACTACAGAGTTTAAGTTTCGAACTACAGGATTTAAGTTTTGAGCTAGAAAATTTAAGTTTCGAACTACAGAATTTAAGCTTCGAACCACAGGATTTATGTTTTGAACTACAGGATTTAAGTTTCGAACTACAGAGTTTAAGTTTCGAACTACAGAATTAAAGTTTGAAAGATGATTAATCCTTAAAGATAGGTTTAATATTTTTTAATATCAGAAACAAATATAAATACTGTACCTTCATCTTATTGTTTATTTTCATCGGATCATTTAGATAATCCAAACCCGGAGTAATCTCTGCAATTCTCTTCTCGAAATTGAAGATATCGATGGCGAACTTGTAAGCTTCGTTGCTCGGAGCTCCGAACAGTTGGGCAGAATCTTTCATGAAGGTCTGATAAGCCTGGACAGAAAATATTAAATATTTTGCAGATGTTTGAGAGACTGTGAGTTGCGGAGATATGAGACAGCAGAATAGAAATTAGAATTTCTTGGAATTAATTAATTTTAAGTTTTCTTTCAGAATGCTAAAAATCAATTAGTTATTATTTTCATAAAATTCGAACAAAATCTTTTTTTGAGAAAGAAACATTGAAACAAAGTTTGTGTTCCTTTGTAAAGTTTGTGCTTCTGTTTAAAATTTGTGTTTCTGTGTAAAGTTTGTGTTCCTGTGTGAAGTTTGTGTTCCTTTGTAAAGTTTGTGCTTCTGTTTAAAATTTGTGTTTCTGTGTAAAGTTTGTGTTCCTATGTAAAGTTTTTGTTCCTCTGTAGAGTTTGTTTTCCTGTGTAAAGTTTGTCTACCTGTGTAAATTTTGTGTTCATGTGTAAAGTTTGTGTTCCTCTGTAAAGTTTGTGTTCCTCTGTAAGTTTGCGTTCCTGTGTAAAGTTTGTGTACCTGTGTAAATTTTATGTAACTGTGTAAAGTTTGTGTTCCTCCGTAAAGTTTGTCTTCCTGTGTAAAGTTTCAAAATACCTGAATTGAAGAATCATTTGGAAATCTCTGATAGAACGTTTTCTCTGGTAAACCCAACCCTGCCGGAGATATCCTGATTTCAGCATATATATTAATATCCTGATATTTTTTAGAAGTATTTATCTTAACTCCAGCAATATTGTTAATTTCATTCAATTTATCACAGTGATCTAAAATGTGATTGCACTCGCACAAAAATCTATTAGAATTTTGACAATTACTTCTTTTAAATTGAAGCTAGAAACATAGAATTTTGACATTTACTTCTTTTAAACTGAAGCTAGAAACAAACTCTTTAAAGTTATAAAATGTACGTGTCTAGGCTAGTTAGTAAGGTAAGAATATTAACCAAGACGTTGCTACACTTCAAATTGACCAAGTCTTGCACTAGTTCGTGCATACCACTGGTTCTCTATCTTTGAATCTTACTCCCTCTCTCCGACCTTTCCATATAAGTTCTAACTGTCAGCGTTTACATAAACTAGAACAAAATAGAAAACAAAATCCTGATGTTAAAACTTACTAAATAGCTCGTAAAATCAAGTTGCCCTGAATGTGTTAAGAATTGCAAGAAATGTACTAAGTAGTTGGACTGACTAATTTCAATATTCGCAAGAAACAGAAATTTGTAGAAGTTGGAAGATCTAAATCTGGGACAAGTGATGTCAATGAAAACTAGAGCTCAATATACAAACATTGATAAGTTACTAAAGACATGAGTTTTAAAATGTACAAGAGTAGAGGAAATGGAGCTTTGTGTGCATAAGCATTAAAGGGGCGGACCGGCTATGTAAGGTAGTTAAACTGAGTATGCAGTGTTGTGGACACATTCTTTAGGATTCATAGCCGGTCTGTACATTTAAAGTGTAAATAAATGAAACAAACTGTATGGACTGAGAAATCGTCAAAACTAGTTGTACATAAGGAACAAGGAGCCAAAAGATGATTTACTCATTTAGTTTCATAAAAAGCTGAGTATTTAGATAAGATGAAGAAAACTAGTGATACGTTTAATCTCCGGAGATAAGAAGGCGGGGAGGAAAATATTTTAAGGGAATTTAAAATAGGAACTAACGCTAGTAAATTTCAAGCCAAGTCTCCTCAAACTAAAGTTTAGAATTTTAAACAAAGAAATATTTCTTTAAATAATCCAGGTTTATGTTGATATACATTGTACTAGACAAGGCACCATTTTAAATCGTTCTCAAATAGGTGGATTTTTCTGTTTAAATTGGTGGATTTTCCAGAATCTATCTTCTATCTATCAATATATAAATTTGGCTTGTCTGTTTGTCTGTTTGTCTGTCTGTCTGTTTGTATCCAATAAACGTCAAAACGGCTGAACCGATCGGGCCCAAATTTTTTGTGGGACATCTAGGGACCCCAGGAAAGGTTTATGAAAAATCAAAATTTCAAATATTTGTCTCCATCAAAATTCGATCGTCATTAAATTTTTAAAAATTTTGAAAATCCGCGAAATTTTTTGTGAAAATCCGCGAATTATTTTTGTTTTGTTTTACGATGTACACAAAGAGAACATGTTCACAACTAATTTAGAAGATGGGCGCGGAGCGCCCTCTAAGGCTAGTATAATAAATTTACTTTTTTCGTATATATATATATATGTTGCGTATAGTCGGCCAAACGGCTGGTCCGATTGGGCTGAATTTTTTTGTGGACACTCATGGGTGGCCGGGGGGTGTAATTTAGACTAAAAAAATCAAAATTTAAAAAAAAAAAAATTTTCCCACGGGCAACGCCGGGCCCTTCAGCCAGTAATAAATAGATAAAAAACCTTCCCTGGAGTAATGCACGTTTCTTCTAACAATTTTGGCTCGATCGGTTCAACCGTGTTTATGTTTATTGGATACAAACAAACAAACAGATATACAAGAAAAGTATAGATATAGATATATATATGTGTTCCTGATGATATTTTGTCCAGGAACTCGGAAATCAGGAACTACGTCAACTTGAAAGAATGCATTAACCATGTACTCCGAGTGCAGTTCTCTTAGTACCCTGAGAAAAAAAAACAATAAAGGAATTAAGTTTTTATCACAAACTCCCATGATCTAATCCCTTTGACATTTCACACTTTTGGCTATTTTATATAACAGAATTCATAGTTTGGAATATCTAAGGTTCACGACGTCAGATTGCAGAAATACAGGGATTAATAAGAGTTTGTGGCAAGATCTCAATTCCTTTCTAAAATATTTTATAAGTTTTTCAATAATCTAAAGATATTAACCTGTGAGGATCCCAATTGTAGAGATTAAAAGTTCTGAGAACGTCCCAACCTCCGAGATTATTCACAATCTTAATCAGAGGTTTCTCCTTGTCCGACTCTATATAGTCTAGAGATTTACAGCTCTCATAGAAGTGCTGAACCTTCCACTCTATACTGTCATACTGAAATATATTAAAATCTAGGATCTGTAATCTGAACTTTGCTACAGGCTCAGCTGGTACCAGAGGGATATCTCAACATGTTGGGTTGGACTGAACTTTCAAATGTATCAAAACGTTCTTGGATTTAAATTTTGATGGTTTTTTAAATGCTCACAAATATCTTCGACATAGAAAATAGTACATGAGTTTAAGATGATGACTATTTAACATTTTTTATCCAAATACATTTTAAATTGTAATTTTTCTAAATTTTGGCCAAAAGGATACCGGCAAAATCTATAATTTGAATAGAAAAGAAAAAACAATATTTTAAAGTTAAGTTTGTATTCCTATATATGTTTGCTAACTGTTAACATTATCCTGTTATGTAACTCGATACGTTTAGTTAGGTGTGACCTAGAAGTGTAGTTAGGTATTCCCCTGAACCCGATCCCTGAGACAGGACGGAGAACTTGAACCTGTTCCCGGAGACGGGACGGAGAACTTGAACCTGTTCCCGGAGACGGGACGGAGAACTTGAAACTTGCCAGGAAATTCTCTCTCTCAAGTTCAGTATATGTTCGGAGAATATTTACGGGAAAATATTAATTTTCAAGAATATATATTTAAAATAATATTTCGAATTTCAAGTTTTAATGTTTATAAGCTTGGGATGATTTCCAAAAGAATTCGTAAACAGTTAGACTGCTGGGACAAATCTATATCCGTCCCTACTTTGAATCAACATGCCCTTCCCAATCTTCTTTTTAGTTAAAGGGACTGTAAGCGTAATTTCAAGTGACCCTCTGTACAATGAAAACATAAAGGATGATTTATTTAAATCTAGAAAAACGCCAATATTTTCCCCATTGTTGATCAGATAGAAGTTTCAAGGGCACCGTTGTGAATCAGACATTGCCATCTTTGCATGGAGGCTCACTTGAAAATACGCTTACAGTCTTTTTAACCTAGAAAGTGTCTGAAGAAAATAAATTCTTCCAGTCTGATGTGCATATTTTATTAGTAAAAAAGTTTTTTTTTGTGTTTTTATTTTATCTTATAGGTATTAAATGCTTATTTTCAAATATGTAAACAATCCCTTTAACAAGCGCAAGCTAGAGGTTAAAGCTTAAAGTCCTGCAAAAAAACTAGATCTGTTGATAGCCTTCACATAAGTCGACCCTTCAAAGTTTAACTAAATTGTTTACGTATGTTTACACTCACTGGGAAATCTAAAATTTTAGATAATTTTCTAGTAATCAGATCAAGAGATAGTTGATAGATAGATAGTTACATTCTATGTACATATAAGATAAACAGAGAGATAGATGATTGATTGATTGATGAATGAATGGGTTCTGGGTGGATAAATGAATAGATTAATGATTGATCTTCATGTAATATAAAAATGAAAAATAATCTTAGATTTGCAGTCACAGAAGCAGCGTTATTCCACAAAAGAAAAATGCTCTTTTAGAAATTGTAAACGTAATTTTAAGACAAAAAAGACGACTAATTGTTAATCCAATAAAGGGCTATTATCAAGAGTACTGCTGTGAATCGGACATATCACGCTTTAAATTAAGGATCACAGTTACCTGACTAGGCTTATGGCTGAACATTGAGACAATCCTACTTTTCTCCCTGCTTGTCCGTTCTTCCATCTCCTGGAGTAAACTCCAACTACTACGTCCTTCAGGAATTCTCCTGAAATAAGATATTCCGGTAAAATTAACCAGATATCGCTCTCTTTGCTACCTGGATAGCTCCCATCCTTGTCTTTTATAAGTCTATCACTAGTCTATGTATAATTTCTGGATTACTCCTATCCTTGTCTTTTACTAATCTATCCAACCTGGATTACTTCTATCCTTGTCTATTACTAGTTTATTCTACCCGTTTTACTCCTGCATTTGTCTATTACTAATTCATCCTTCCTGATCCTTGTCTATTTACCTGGATTACTACCATCCTTGTCTATTACTATTCTACCTGGATTACTCCTATTCATGTCTATTACTACTTTATCCTACCTGGATTACTCCCATTTTTGTTTATTACTAATCTATTCTATCTGGATTACTCCTATCCTTGTCCATTACTAAAATATTCTACCTGGATTACTCCTATTCTTGTCTATTACTAATCTATCCTATAACCTGGATTACTCCTATACTTGTCGTTTACTAATCTATCCTACCTAGATTACTCCTATCCTTGTCTATTACTAATCTATCCTACCTAGATTACTCCTATCCTTGTTTATTACTAATCAATCCTTCACGGATTACTCCTATCCTTGTCTATTACTAATCTATCCTACCTGGATTACTCCGTCCTTGTATATTTCAAATCTATCCTACCTGGATTACTCCGTCCTTGTATATTTCTAATCTATCTTACATAAAAGCAATTTATTACCTGGATTGTTCCCACCCCCCGCAGGCGTATGTGTACATATCTCTACAGGGTTGTATAGAGGTATTCCTGAACTCCACCAGGTGAGCTGCAGACTCCAGGCAGGCTGGAGTATTACAGAACTCCAAGGGTCCAGTATACCGCAGATGTGAGGCTGAAAATATATTTTATTCAATTCTAATTCAATTATAATCATTATGTTTAAACCAAAGACTCTTTAAAGGACAGGTGTAGTATAAAGAACGGATTGGAAAAAGGACGTATATTATAAAGAACTGATTGGATAAAGGACGGATATTATAAAGAACGGATTGGAAAAAGGACGGATATTATAAAGAACGGATTGAAAATGGACGGATATTATAAAGAACGAATTGGAAAAAGGACGGATATTATAAAGAACGAATTGGAAAATGGACGGATATTATAAAGAACGGATTGAAAATGGACGGATATTATAAAGAACGAATTGGAAAAAGGACGGATATAATAAAGAACGGATTGGATAAAGGACGTATATTATAAAGAACGGATTGGATAAAGGACGGATATTATAAAGAACGGATTGGAAAAAGAACGGATATTATAAAGAACGGATTGGAAAAAGGACGGATATTATAATTTTTATATTATCGGAAAAAGAACCGATATTATAATTTTTATATTATCGGAAAAAGGACGGATATTATAATTATTATCTTATTGGAAAAAGGACGGATATTATATAATTATTATATTATTGGAAAAAGGACGAATGGTATAAGGAAAAACTGATAAAGAGGGCAGATGGTATAAAGTACAGGTGTTGTATACCGATGGTATAGAAGATGGTTGGTAAAAAGGACGGTGGTTTAAAGAACGGGTTGTGGAAAAGAAGAAAATGGACGGATATTATAAAGAACGAATTGGAAAAAGGACGGATATTATAAAGAACGAATTGGAAAAAGGACGGATATAATAAAGAACGGATTGGATAAAGGACGTATATTATAAAGAACGGATTGGATAAAGGACGGATATTATAAAGAACGGATTGGAAAAAGGACGGATATTATAAAGAACGGATTGTAAAATGGACGGATATAATAAAGAACGGATTGGAAAAAGGACGGATATTATAATTTTTATATTATCGGAAAAAGGACGGATATTATAATTTCTATATTATCGGAAAAAAGGACGGATATTATAATTATTATCTTATTGGAAAAAGGACGGATATTCTATAATTATTATATTTTTGGAAAAAGGACGAATGGTATAAGGAAAAACTGATAGAGAGGGCAGATGGTATAAAGTACAGGTGTTGTATACCGATGGTATAGAAGATGGTTGGTATAAAGGACGGTGGTATAAAGAACGGGTTGTGGAAAAGACTGGTGGTAGAAAGGACAGGTTGTGTATAGGACGGGTGGTATAAAGGACAGGTTGTGTGAAGGACGGGTGGTATAAAGGACAGGTGGTGTATAGGACGGGTGGTGTAAAGGACAGGTTGTGTTAATGACGGGTGGTACAAAGGCCAGGTTGTGTGTAAGACGGGTGGTATAAAGGACAGGTTGTGTATAGAACGGGTGGTGTAAAGGACAGGTTGTGTATAGGACGGGTGGTATAAAGGACAGGTTGTGTGAAGGACGGGTGGTATAAAGGACAGGTTGTGTGTAAGACGGGTGGTATAAAGGACAGGTTGTGTATAGGACGGGTGGTAGGTTGTGTATAGGACGGGTGGTATAAAGGACAGGTTGTGTGAAGGACGGGTGGTATAAAGGACAGGTTGTGTATAGGACGGGTGGTATAAAGGACGGGTTGTGTATAGGACGGGTGGTATAATGGACAGGTTGTAAATAGGACGGGTGGTATAAAGGACGGATGGGGAATACTTTTATTAAGATTTGAAGGAGAGTGAAGATCTATTAATATAAAGAATGAATAGGAATAATATTTGACATGATTGGTTTCCGACATTAATCTTGGAAATGGAGGGAGTTCATCATTATGTATAGAAAGACATTTTGAATATTCTTTGAAATATTTCGAATTTTGAGAAAATATGACCAGTTATTCAATATGTATATGATATATATATAGATAAGTATATTTTTGCTGAACTCGGGGTAAATTGTAAAATGATTATAAAGTAGTAATCTCTGGGTGTCTGTTTGTTTGTTTATTTGTGTGTCTATCATAACTCATGAACATTGAACACTTGTAAAAAATTGTAATTGATTAACTCGTTAGAACAAGGGAAATGTGCTGAAGTTAGGTTGGACAAATTTCATGGATCTCCGGACAAAGCTGGGTTCCCAAGCTATCACCCTCAACTAAGCTTTCGGTGAGTACCGGAGATATAGTAGGGGTTTAGCGGAGAGTGCTATTTATATATATAATATATATATCCATAGAGCGAAAAAGTAATGCATTCCCCCTCCCTCCACCCACGCCTCCGATGTTGGCTAGAAGTATACAAATTAATCCCAGCAACTAACCAAATATAAATCCCCCAGAGAAAAATATTAAAACCAAACCAAACCCTAAATGTTTCCGATATTTGTAGAAATACTACCGCTATAAAAATACTTCAGATGTATTTACGATATTTATATAATAGTATTTCTAATTGTTGAAACACTAACTACATTTTTTCCACATAGATATAATACTCAAATATTTTCATATGTAGAAATACTACTCAAATATTTCCACAAAGAACGGTAATTACGACATACTACAAAATTATCTCCGAAATAACAGAAATACTACTAACAAAATGTCGGCTTTTTCGAGACTAAAAATATTGCTGTTTTGTCATTGCATTGACGCAATTTTAGTGTTAGGGTATAATGTATTAAATGAAATGAAATGAAATGAAAGATAGATCGTGGAAGACCCCCAACGTGGGATCCCCAGACCGACAAAATTGGAAAGCTATCCTTGATGACGGAGATGACGTAATCAGTAATCCTGAGTTAAAGAGCAAGAAAAAAACTTTTCTTTCAGATTTATTTCCTAGTTTGTACGTTACACATTATTGTTTTATAATATGAAAGGGGGAGGGGATTATCTTTACACACAAGGTTACCTTTACAGGATAAGATTGAAAAGACGACCTGAAACTTTTTAAATATAGCGATTTCAAGGTTAGATTAAGTATTCTGTTTTAAATATTATCTTTTAACGGCCTATTTATTCAATTTGTTTGGACAAAGAAAAAAACAGACAGTATAACTTTCAACTGAAGTTTTTTAAATCAAAACAAAAGGTGTGTTGCTAGTCATTCCAAACCATTTTTCCAAATTCAAAAAAACTTTCATTCTTTACATAAATATATTCTCTACAAAACTGCATCAATCTTTTTTCTTAATTGAATAAATACATAGTAGAGAGGGTAGAGGTAAACACTACACTTTTCTAATATCCTCATTTATTAGACCCTGGCAGTAATTTGTTTATTTAGCTTTAATACGAAAATAATGTACTTTAAAATTATTTTGAGAGTAGGTAACACTAAGGAAGTTTTAGCAAACTTAAAATTTCCCGCATTCAATGTCGTTAATTAGTTTTGTTATTTAGTACTTTTGATATTTGCACCAAAGAAAAACCTGATAATTAAGATTCATGAATCCATTTTTGGTACCATTCAATTTGACCTATACAGAAAACAGACCTACAGACTTTACGATCTAAAAAAGTATCATTTCTTGAAAAATGCATGCTGGCAGAGTTTGACGAGTTTAGACGTAAGGACATGGTTTAAATTCGTGAAATCACACGGATAGTAACAACTACGCGTAATTAGTTTGAAAACCCTGTAGGTCGGATTCCTCTAGGTCAGTTTCCATAGCACCCATTATCTTGATCTGTTGTTTGAATGGTTACTAACCTGGCCAGCTGACGAGGAGCGCTATGATAATAATGAGAAGGAAGAACACGAAGATGGAGAGGGCGATGGCAATGTAGCAGCCTCGATCATTCAATCCCAGCTTCTTAGCATACATCCGGAGTAAACTTGTTTTCTCCCTGCGGGACGGGAGTTTTATATCTTCCTGATTAGTCTCAGTACTGGATATAGGACCACTCATCAGCATGGTTTCCTTAACATAACAATATTTAATTTTTCCATTCTAACCTTTTAGAATATTTTCTACACTTCCAACGCCTGTTAAGATCTTGTCTTTTTAATCTGTTTTTTAAAACTCTAAATCCTGCCTCTTTCAATTTTGCTATCTAATTTAGTACGCTTTTTTACATTAAAAATAGAAAAATTACGAGTTAACTTTTTGATTTTGTAGATTTAGGTTTAAAGATTATTGAACTATTTTATTTCTCATTGGTTTCCCACAGAACTTACACAACTGGGGAAAGAATGGATAATTCCAAAATTCTCTAAATCCTTCATTTTATCCTTTTCATTTCGGTTCCGACGCTTTATTACATCTACAACAAAACAAAGTAGGTTTATGATACAGGACTGTTCTCCGGGTAGATGGGATTACATGTAATGAAAATGAAGGTGTAAGTGTAGTTACAGGAATTATGATATCCCTGAGCAAGACTTGAAGTAAGATTTATTCTGAACCATGTAAACCACACACAAAACATTCTTTACACAAAACAAATTTATAGCAAACTTTGTCAAGTAGCATCTTATATTTTCCAGACTCCCGTCCCCCCCCCCTCCCAACCCAACAACCACTACCCCTCCTACCCCTCTCAGACACTTCTAAGTGTGCTAACTCAGAAATATTAAGGTTTTCTCCGGATGAGTTTCTTTGCTCTGTTATGCAAAATATCTAGTTGACTTTATTTCTTTTGTCAACATCTTGACGTTAAAATAAATCTGCGGAATAGACTAATGGTTTAAACTTTTGACATTTATAACATGATTATTTGATCTAACAGAATTCATAATTTAAAATATCTAATGCCAACAACATTGGGTTGCAAAGTTATGGGGATTCGAAAATCAAAGTTTGTGGCAAAGATTCCATTCCTAAGTAACATATAAATGGCCAAAAGTATAAAAAGTATTCTTCATTTGTATGACAGATAGAATGTAGATCAGATGTTGCTTAACTTCCAAAACGTACAATCTATAATTTGATAACAGATTTTATTACATTTTTTTGACTGAATCGAAAGTACAGCATTCTTAACTTATTTAGTGTAAACCAAACCCATTAAAAAAAAGAAAACGAAGGAACAAACCTTATTTTCTTCGATTATTGAGAGAGAGAATTTAATATGAAATATTATTATTCTCGTCCTGAAGATTTCCTAGTATTTACCCCTGATAAATCTTTAATACACTATAGTTCTTGCTGCCATTAGTAAAGTTAGTGCCAATTTTCCACTGTTTCTCTGATTAATAACCCACTTCATTCTTACACTATACTTTTCAAACCTTCTAGTCAACTAGCCTCTCTTCAATTCATCCATTCGTCATTCTCATTCGTCTTTCATTCTCATATCCTTCACTCAGTCATCCTTACATACTTCATCTTTCATCCTTTCATCTTTTCATCTTTTCATCCTTTCATCCTTTCATCCTTTCATCTTTTCATCTTTTCAATCTTTCATCCTTTCATCCTTTCGTCCTTTCATTTTTCTTCCTTTCATCCTTTCATCCTTTCATTTTTCTTCCTACTACATTCATTTATTTATCTTAGTTTATGACACAATTAAGATTTACAATAAAATAAAAAAATTATTTTTCAAAAAGTCTAATCTTTCTGAAGTTTAATCCTCGACTGGTAAATGCTAATCCTCGAACTGACAAGCTCAACCTGACGCGGACACTATATAAACTAAACAAATTTCGACAAACTAAATAAGGATTAGTAAATGTTAATAGATTCAGCCCCCTCCACGCATACATCCAACTACTCAACCTTCCTTCCCTCCCCATGCATAGATTCAACTACTCAACCTTCCTCCCCATGCAAACATCCAACTACTCAACCTTCCTCCCCATGCAAACATTCAACTACTCAACCTTCCTCCCCATTCATACATCCAACTACTGAACCCCACCCCTCCTCGAGAACACATCTAACTACTCAACCTTCCCTCCCTCTCAATGCATACATCCAACTACTCAACCTTCCCTCCCTCCCCATGCATACATTCAACTACTCAACAACCCCCTCCCCCCGCCTGTGCAAAAACTATACAGATATCTAGGTTTTTCTATCTGAAAATTGATACTTTTAATTTGTGGTTTCTACTGTGTAAAAATGGACTTCCGGAATTATGTATCAGAAAAAATGGAGAAAATTGAAAGAACTTACTTCTTTTTTGAGATAGAAAAACAAATATGTCTTCCTCTTGTTACTTTTAAAATGTTCTAAAGGGTACCGTTGTGAATCAGACACATGTCATTATAAAAATAGAAACTCACATTTATTCCACAGTCCCTTTAAACACTCATTGAATAAAAAAATATTGAATAAAAATGAATATTTATCACATTCCAGAATTTTTAATTAAGATTTCCTTCAAATATATTTATATTCCAATTTTGAAAAAAAAATCTGTTAACATCTTAATATTATATAATGTCATAATATTTGATAAATTAAAAAAAATATTTGAGAAATTAATATTCTAAAGTTTAAAGTTTTGTTAGATACTTTCAAAGCAGCTTAAAATATTAAGCTCGGATCGGATAAATGTTGGCCACAAAATAAATGCCATCTTATTGGAGAATATACACCAAGTATGTGTAAAGTTATATAATGCACAGAATCAGATAGATGAGCAGACTGCAAAGATTAAAAACTCATGATAATTTCCGGTTTATAGATCGTTCAGAGACCGGAACACACTCCTGTGGATTATTAACAACCAATATATTCCTTCCGGTAGAACTTATACTTATACTAGAATACATGGATACATGGATAATAGAATACTTGGATTCTAGGATACTTGGATACTTGGATTCTAGGATACTAGGATACTAGGATACTAGGATACTAGAATACTTGGATTCTAGGATACTAGGATACTAGAATACTTGGATACTTGGATACTTGGATACTTGGATACAAGGATACTAGGATACTTGGATACTTGGATACTTGGATTCTAGGATACTAGGATTCTAGGATACTAGGATACTAAGATACTAGAATATTTGGATACTAGGATACTTGGATACTTGGATACTTGGATATTAGGATACTTGGATACTTGGATTCTTGGATACTAGGATACTTGAATACTAGGATACTTGGATACTTGGATACTTGGATACTTGGATACTTGGATACTCTTAATTTAAAAAAAGGGGCATGTCCGATTCAAAATGGTTCCTATTTAAACCTTATCTGATTTTGTCGTATCTTGCTTGAAAAGTAAAAATATTCAAATGACAAAGAGAAAAACATTGATATCTCATTAGTTCTCGATCAAGCCAAGCTTTTAATGGTACTATTGTAAATCGGACAAGCTTTTAATGGTACTATTGTAAATTGGACATGTCACAATATAAATGAAGAGTCAAGTGAAATTTATTTTACAGTCCTTTTCAGGATGGAATTTAAAATATGTTCGCTTGAGAAATAAATTAAATCATCTGAGAAGAATGAATTAAGAAATATTCTTTCACTTTAAATCTAGAATTTTATATCTTAATTGTAAAATACTTCAAAAAAAATTTATTTTCATCTTAATATTAAGATGACTATTAGTGCAGTATTGATATCAAAAAATTTATATTTTTTGATTTATTTGAGAGAAATTATGTGAATTTGATATTTTATAAATGATTTTAGAAGTAAATCATGTGAAAACGTTGTATTGTTATTTTGAGGGGTTTTTACTCAAAATTGAAACGTGAACATATGTTGTCTATTGAGCATCATATCAATTCAATTGTGTTTAAGATAAAAGTATTTATAAGATTATCCGATCTAAAACACACCTCTAAACTTAAAATTTAAAAAATTACGCTTTTTCACTTTATTCTGTTTATTGCTCAGAGTTTAACTACTGGAGATTGTCCTCATACATTAAATATTGTGTTTAGTTTAATTCTGATCAAAATAAAGATAAAAGTTTTTATTCATTAAATTTAATTTCAATATGCATAATGTATTAAATGACGTAATTCATTTATATTCCAAAAACGAATTTTTTGTTGATTTACAAAAATAGATATATTAGGAAATGAGTCGAAGTAAAATTTCATAAAAAATCTACATTTTTTTCAAAAGTAAATAATTATATTGTAAGATTCTGAACTTGTTTGTTTTAATGGCTTAAGTTTTATATTGGAGTGTGGTCGAATTCTAAAATTATAAAACCTATAATAACAGTTCTAAACAAAACACAGTGTGTAAACATGAAACCTGAAACAGCTGATTCAGAAACAACGGTTTCATGATTCATCAAAAAGTACATTTTTAAAACTATCTGAGATATATTCAGTTTTAAAAAAAAAAGAAATATATTGTTGAAAGAACATGAGAAACTCAATGAGTCGGATCTAATATGCCAGAAACTTCATATTTGACTTGTTTTTAAACCTGAAACATTTGAAATTCCAGCTTTCTAAATGAACTTAGAACTGTCTTATTTTTCTTTTTGAGGAATTTAGTTGGTTGACCCCCAGGGGGGAGGGGAATCACCTATACTGGCAACCTGCCCATCCTTCTCTATATTATTCTCTACCTGATCTCCAATATGAGATAGCATGGGATCTATGATATCTCCGTGGTGTGACATCAGGTGGTTTGACTCCATGTGGTCGTATGAGCTGGAGATTACGTGCCGGTGATCCAACCCGTTCTCTCTGGGTTTAATATTTATATGATGGTTTATTAAATGATCTGGAACATATTGTTCCTCAAGATCTCGGTCGTTCCACATATTCACTCCTAGTTCCTTGCTCGCATTTTAAATATCTTTATATTTATAACAACACTCGGACGAGATGATGAATCACTGCATCGTGTGTTTAAATGAAAACTAGGATCAAGGTTCGGTTTCCTGTCTCCGCTCTAGTCAGGAGAATCCTGAATACTACTGAGTAAATTGCACCGCTCTTTCTTCCAACCGGTTCTAGAGAGTTTAGTCCGAGGATTTGTGAGAAGTGACGGTACTCAGTGTTTATATTGAGAGATAAGAGCCGAGAAACCGAACCCTTGGGATAAAATACATCATGCTAAATGATGAGAACAGATATAAAATTTATCCTTGTAGTCTGATTAAACTCTGACGAAAAAAAGAATATTCAGCGTTGTTGCTTTCCATTTTAAATCGATTTAATGTTTACCAACCGTTAAGTTTTTTTTCGAAAAAACTTAGTTAGGGTTTAATCTCTCATTCTAATTCCATCCAATAAAACGTAATACACGTTATATGCTTTAATATCAAATGCATCGCCCTAGAAACTGTCAAAATCCGAAAGATATATAATTAAAGGTTAAAAATTGGTTCGAACGTGAAGAACCAATATATCTGAATTACCGTGAAGGACTCATATTGACTCATCTTTTCCACTGACCTTTAAAAGATAACCTGTAGCTTCTACAATCTATTTTAGGAATATCTAGGAATATCTGAACAATTTTGTATTAGAAAAACCTTTCGGTTAGAACTTATTTTATTTGTATGAATGAAAATCAAGTTATCCTCTTATTCAAGGAAATCATCTTCCTTCATAAATCACATTCTCATGCTTGTTAAAAATAATAATATCAATAATATTTTTTAATGCGTTACATTATTTTTGGTGACTAGCTTGGAAACCCAGCTTAAACTGGAATCTGTGCTTTCCCCATAAAAGTTAACCCACTGAACTTAAGAAACTTAAAACCCAGCAAAGAACATTCCTATGGTTCTTCCGATCAGTTTGAGGCAAATCGGTCAAGGGGTTCCTGAGTTATGATCGGGCATACAAATAAACAAACAGACATTATTAATTCATATTTAAATAGATTTTTGCTGATTTTTATTCCGGGTTACGCAGTTTTACAAGATCAATCCCCTTTTTTTTAATGTATTGTTTTAATATTTAATATTTTTAATTTTTTGATATTTTTAATGTATTATTTTAATAGGTGTTCGGTATTTTCTCAAGGACAACTTCCCAAGTGACAATTTACTAAAATGCTACTTCCCAAAAGTTAGGTTATGCCTTCTGATGTGCATTGAGGCTGAGTGTTGCAGCTAGAATAAACTAGGGGGCCGAGCGCTGCGGCAAGAACATGATAAGGGCCGAGCACGGTGGCTAGGAGAGACTTGGGAAGTTACCGCTTGGGAAATTGCAGATTTGGGAAGTTGGTACTTGGGAAAATACCCGTAGGAAGTTGCCGCTTGGGAAAAACTCCTCTGGGAAGTACCTTACATCTTTAATATACTACATAGTGAAATTTGCCTCCATAGAAACCTTCTTCTAATTTTAATCTTAACGTTAGCTTTTACTATAGCTGTTTCTGAACAAGATTGTTTGGATGAAAAATACCCAATCTTAACTGAACATTTCTTGGAATAATGCAGGCGTGATTAATGATTCTCCAAGCCGAATATATAACTCAGGATTAAATATTGAAAAATCTAGCTAATCTTGAATATTAGGTGTGCAGTGTATTTGACATATGTCCAGTTTGTTTTGTATCTTGAGGAGCTAAGATCTGGGTTAAAGATACAGGTGCAGGACGGAAGGGAAGATACTAACTCAAGATTCTATCAATCTATCAATCTATCGTAGATAAGACGAAAATGGGTAAAATTGGGTTAGGATGGGAACTATGTAGTTGTCCACAGTTGTCATGATTACAAAGTAAAACATCAAACTCTAATTTTCTACATTGTTTCAACCTGAATTTAAAAGGGTTAAAGAATTTAATAAGCATATTTAAGTCACATTCATAAAGGAATTGAGTTTTTGCCACAAGCTTTTCTGATCTCTATATATTTGTAGTCTGACGGTGTAAGCATTTTATATTTTAAACTTAGAATTTTTGATTTATCAGAATTCATAGCTTGAACTATCATCAATTAGAAAATTTAATGTCTAATCCTTACATCTTAAAATACATTTCAAACATAGGCTAGTTGATCTAACAGAATCTAAAGTTGCAAAGATGTAGGGATTAGAAAATTAGAGCTTGTGTCAAAAACTCAATTCCATTACTGCTAAGTTCCAAGAATTGTTGGCTATAACAATGCTCTTTAAACATGGTTTATGAATATCGCATTTATACAAGCTGGCCAGTGGAATTTTAAAAAATTGAGAAAAAAATTTGATTTTTGAAAAATACTAATTTTAGAATTGTTTTAGCCTATATCCCCCAGGTTACCCGGGACCCATGGGTTCCCTCAAAAAGTTCAGCCCATTCGGTCCAGCCGTTTGGCCGGAAATAGGAAACATATATACAAATGTCTTGTTTTATTATATACTAGCTAAAGGCTCCGGCGTTGCCCGTGGAAATTTTTTAAATTAAAAAAATTGNGAAATTTTTTTAAATAAAAATAATTGGGAAAAGAATTCAATTCTTTTTAGCCTAAAACCCCCCACGGCCACCCATGAGTTTTGACAAAAAATGTCGGTCCAACCGGTCCAACCGGTCCAACCGGTTGACCGGATTTAGGGAACATAAATGCGAATGTCTTGTTTTATTTTATAGATATAGAATATATATATACGTTTGGCCTGATATAACCATAATATATGAGCGAAGAGCTTTATTATAAAGAGTAAGTAGTTTGTTCTAAAAAATGTCTCAATATGTTGATAATATCGGGTTGGAGAGATAAGTAGGATTATGCAGATTTATAATATTTCTTTAGAAAATGCAAACTACGTGAATACTTGTTTCCTCCGTTCATGTATATATATGTGTATATATATATATATATATATATATACATATATTTATATATGTATATATAAATATATACATATATAATATATATATATAAATACATGAATATATGAACGTGTACTAAGAAAAAGGATTGAGATGAGGAAAATTGGCAAGAGATCAATCGGAGACGATCCGTCAACCACAATTATCATATCAGATCAGAAAATAACTTTGTTCATATACACTGAACCCTGAGTAATGATAAAGATGGAACCAAAACCTTGATAAAAAAAAATAATATCTATTCTGATCATAAATATTGTAAAAAAAATAGAAATTATGTTTAATTTATTTACTAGCTAAAGTATCCGGCGTTGCCCGTGTGATATTTCAAAAATTGGCAAACGCTCGGCAGAAAATTACCTTCTCCTTCGTATCGGTAAATCTGAGGGAGAGGGCCCATACCATATGTTACCCAGGTTGCAAAATGTAACATTTTTTACCTCTGTTACATCTTTCTAAGTGTTATGGTTTTACCGTCTATAAGTAACACACAAACAATTTAGAAAACCCGGCCAGCTTTAACTTGAAACTGTTCTTTCCCTAAAAACTAAACGTTGAACCTTAGATTCCAGGTAAGAACATTCATATAATTCTTCCAAGTTCTCCTTCAAAATTTGAGCAAATTGGTAAAGAGGTTCCTGAGTTATGATCGGACAGAGATTACTACTTTATATATATATAGATAGAAGATCAGACATTAGTACACGATATTTTAAGTTTTGTCAGAAACACAAATAAATTGAAAGAACATACCTTACATTTGGAAGGTAGATACTATGTGCAATATATCGTGTTCCATATACCGTATATCGTGTTCAATGTACCGTATATCGTGTCCCATGTACCGTATATCGTGTATAATGTACCTCAAATCGTATTCCAAGTACTGTATATCGTATTTCATGTACAGTATATCATGTTCCATGTATCCTATATCGTGCTCCATGTACCGTATATCGTGTTCAATGTGGCGTATATCGTATTCCATGTACCATATATTCGGTTCCATTACCGTATATCGTGTTCCATGTACCGTCTATTGTATACAATGTACACCTCGGGAGAATGTAAGGTAATCCTAACCTTGATTTATAGAGTGGGCGGGTCAAAATGTGAAAACATCTCGTTTGTCAATATTTTCTCAATCTTCAAAATGAAAAATAACTTTTGTCAGCTTTCAAACTAATTGATAAGGATGGATGGATATGAAAAGGATGACAGGAAGAATAAAATGTTAAGATAAAATAAACATAAAAACCATGAAATTGAAAAAAACTTTGTAAATAAGGAAAAGTCTGTTTTCTGCACAGTGTTAAAGGTGTAGAGCAGAGATAATATTTTAGTAAAAAGAGATTATTTCTATTGGAAGAGTTTGGGTAAAGACTGCTAGAAGGGTTTAAACCTTCCTCCTCCTCCAGCCCTTTCCATCCTTCCTTCCTCAACCCTTCAATCCTTGCCCGGGGTATATAAACATCTTTCCATTCTTTAGAGATAGCTTTTTACTCCAACACCCTAGACTGTACTGTAACAAAATGTGGTCAAAATAAAAGAAAAAATTGACTAAACTCGGCGGTGCAGCTAGGGTACTAGATATTATATTAAGTTTCGGAGAAAAATTGTGGAAGGGAGTATTTATATAATAGTGGGGTTTGTATATGCAATCGGGACATACAATCCAGGATATAGACACGCAATGAGCATTTTCATTAACAATTATATTAAACTTTCTGAATTGAAAAGTCAATTATAAACAATAGATCTCCTTGTCCTAGAGTCCTGTACCTAGATCTTCTTGTCCTAGAAACCTATACATAGATTTTCTTGCTCTAGCAACCTGTCCATAGATCATTTTTTCCTAGCAACCTATGCTTAGAACTTCTTGTCATAGCAACCTGTACATAGATCTTCTTGTCCTAGCAACCTGTACATAAATCTCCTTGTCATAGCAACCTGTACATAGATCTTCTTGTCCTAGCAACCAGTACATAGATCTTCTTGTCCTTGCAACCTAAACATAGATCTCCTTGTCCTAGTAACCTATACAAAGATCTCCTTGTCATAGCAACCTGTGAATAAATCTCCTTGTCATAGCAACCTGTACATAGGTCTTCTTGTCCTAGCAACCTGTACATAGATCTTCTTGTCATAGCAACCTCTACATAGATATTCTTGTTCTTC